ACATTATTTGTTTACATTTTTTATTGTTCCCAAAATACTGAAGTAATAGCCTGAAACATTTGAATAACTGAATACTATCTGGACACCTTGCCTAGAAAACTACTATGAGTTGGCAAAGTCAGTCAGGTGATCCACATTATTAATATATGCAAATTGGAAATGCAGTGTAGCCCCTGCAAATTAGAAACTTCGGGTTTAGCTTTGACACTGATGTTAATATACTGAGCTTCAATGCAGGAATAAATAAAAACGATTACACTCTAAAAGGTATATGATTTTATATATGTAACTGATATTTTATGATATTCCTCTATAAAGCATAGATTCCCAACCTCAAATTTAAAATTCAGATACAGCGATAGGTTACTGATCATCCCTATGAGGTCCACAAACAAAATTAGGATCTGCTTTTCTTTTTCCTAGGCTTTCTCATTTCATCCTACTGCTTTCTGCATCTCTATGTGAAGAGACTATGCCTACGAAAAACACACTCAGACAATAGTTTAGTGGTTACTAGAGGATTAGGGGGAGGGGGTGGTAGATGAGGGTAAAAGGGATCAAATATATGGTGATGGAAGGAAACTGACTCTGAGTGGTGAGCACACAATGTGAACTATAGATGATGTATTACAGAATTGTACCCCTGAAACCTGTGCAACTTTACTAACAATTGTCATCCCAATAAACTGACTAAAAAAAAAAAAGAATTCCTCTGCTAACAGATACTTATAAAAATAAAACTTTTGCAAAGCCATAAAGAGAAGAAACTGCATGTTCTAAATGCAATGAAGGTCTCAACAGGGTTTTAATGAGTCTCGGGCCCTGGCAGCCACTGAACTTGCACTTTAACATCTCAGATCCTGGATGCATAGACCAGTCCTCAAGTCTAGGGCTGATGAAGAACTACGAGTATTTGCATGATTTCATTTATGGCTTTTTAGTGCTATGTCTAATGGAAAGTCACCACAAAAATAACTTAACCACTTTTGAACCCGAAAAAGCTCAAAAGGCTGTTGGTTCCAAAGAACACTAAATAAGGCTTAACATGTAAGAAAAGTTTCAATTTATTTTTTTATTCACTTTTTTCTACCTACTTCTAGAAAGAACTTGAAGCAAGAAATGGAAAATGATGCACATAAAATAGAATTTGATAAAAATAAAATATCAAATCAAGTAGGAGGGGATAATTATAACAAAAATCCAGACTTAAACTTCTCATGGCACTGAAATTCAGATAAGAGGTATTTCCACTAATGCAATTTTACCAGGAAAAAGAGGTTATTTTTAGTATCAAAGTGTAAGGTTGATCTTTCCCATGGGACTATAGAAAGTTCACTAAGCAACATGAGCACGCAATAATATGGAAGTGTCTTCAGCAACTCCTTTACAGAAATTACATAAAGTACTTCATTTGAAGTCTGTTGTAAATTGTTGAATCTATTTATATAAAGAGATAAATTATGGTTACCAGAAATAAAACTCTGTGGTAATACAGAAAAAGGGGTTTTTCCACGTCTAAAGGAACGTGTCTATGGGAGGCCACTAATATCAAGCGTGATTCACATCATGAATTTTAAGGATCTATATTATTTTATTTTCTAAGTGTTGAGGAGCAAACACAGTGTAATTGATTCAAAATACATTAATATACATTTTGTGATAATGGTTTCTTCCTGGAAAATTATAAAACCTAAAGTGTTTCTCTTGAGTAAAGGGAGAACCATTTTTTTCTCTATACAAGTCTAAGCTGCAAGAACGTCTGCAGGCAGAACCACAAAGTGTATTCAAGATGAACTATTATATATGCTCAGTGCTGAATGGTCTCATTGATCCCAGAGTTCCACACGATATGCATGAAGGGATCATAAAAACACTTGACTTGGCCATAAAGGACACTTGCCTTTGTTCCTTGACTCACAGGCCTGGTGTGAAAATATAAACCTAAAATTTCTACAAAGAACTTTTAAAACACAGATTTGCGAACCTAAGTGGTGAAATGATTTAGGACATCACCATTGTAGGAGATACCGACATTCTTAGAGGCAAACTCTAAAAAACATGTAAGATTCCTCCTAGTCTTCCCAGTATCTTATCTAGCTATGGAATTTCAATGACCACCACCTATTCAAAAACCTCTCAACTAATTTTTAACACTTGATGGCTTTCAGTGTCTGAAAGTTTGGGAAATTACGCTAATGAAAAACTGATGTTAATTTAGTCTCAAATCAAAATTTTAAAAATCTTGTTCTTAACTCTCTCAATTCACTTATGTATCAGAATGAATCATCACTGAACTGTCTCTTCCATTACAATTTCCCAGGACATTGTTACCTCCTTTTCGGCACCCGTCGTCTGTCTGTGCCACAGTTATCCAGGTAAAATATCATTTAAGGGCAAATATGGTTTGTTTTTCCTTATCATGTCTGACCCCCCTCCCCCTGCCTTGCCCAGTTCTGTAGCCCAGATTCTAGACACTTATAGTCAATCAGTGAAGGCCAGGTGAATTGAGTTACAGCTGTGGGTTCCGTTGCAGGGGAAATTAGCATGTGTATAGAAATATGTCAGATGTTTTTAAAAAAAAATTCCTGGACTTCTCGCTCTTAATGACTGAAATTTAAATGAATTATTTATAAACAACTGAGACATTATTTTCACAAAATGTCTGTTAAACTTGTAACTAGCACATGCAAAACATTCTAGTACAGATTTGCTTAAGAAGTGGATTAAGTACAAGTGTGCCAAGTCCTTAGGAAGTAGGATACAGGCACGTACATACTGACAGGGGAGTTCTGGTACTTAGGTCTCTAACCAAAAGGGCAAGCCGGAGAAAGATGTCTCAGTGTGAAAGGCTGGACAGTCCAGGGGTAGCCAGAGGGGACAAGGGGTCTGGAAGAGGGGACTGAGAAAGCAAATGAAGTGGGGCCTGGGATAAGGGCCAAAGATACCAAAGGCAAGCTTAAATCACTTCCCAACTTGCCCCAAAGAACAACTAGCTATCAGAAAGCCCACACTGTATTTTATTGAAGAACAGCCGAAACCATTCTCTGAGGAACCATGCCTGGTCATTAGAATCCTTTAGAGAATTCTCCACCTCTCTTTGTCCTCATCACAATCATGTCCTGATCAAAGCAAACCAGCTATCAAAACACCAGTTGACCAATCCACCTCAAGCCCTTAACCTTTTTTCAGTCAGGAACCATTCCTACACTTGCTCAAAACAATTGCCTGGGTAAAAGTATGCCCTCCTTGGGAGATACGTTTTCTCTTCTAGATCACTAGGATCATGAAGCAATCATTTGAATTTACCAAATTGTTTTCTAATTATCTGGGCAAAGAACCTCAGCTTTCACAAAGGATCTGTTCTACACACACACACACACACACACACACACACACACACACACACACACACAAAATAGCAGCACAGTCGAGCTGCAATTTCCCTGTGAGCAGCACCTAAGCACATAATTCCTCAGGAGCTACTAAGGATTTGGCATAAACCGGTTGTGAAGGATGACCTGCCTCATCACAGCAGCTCTCCAATCAGGTAACATACTAACGATGTTGGCTACGAGGGTCTGATTTTGTCCAAGGCAAACGCCTGCCTCAGCTTCTGCAGGTGTGCTCTGCAAGTGGTGCCTCAGCACAGTTGACTTTGGAAACATCTGTGCAACTGTCATGTCTTTTGAACTCACACATGCACTTGGGAGAAAATAGAAATGAATAGCATAGGACTGGGACAACTTTTCAGGAAATATGGCAGATGGATACAGAGTCTGGGGGGCATTTTAGATTTTTGGTTATTTACTGCCATCCCTACACAAAATTTATAAATGTATACTTAAGTAGACACAGATTATGATATTAAATCCACATGTGTACATTTAAATATTATTTCTCAAACCTTCAAGAAAATGCTGCAAACAGATGTGAGCTAGAATTTTATTTCAAACACTACTAAAGTGCTTGTATATCTGTAATACTGTAATCATACTTAATTGACACATAAAAATGGCCACGTTTTAAATAATTATAGTCCTTGAGGTCCACTCTTATTCATTATATAACAACCACAGGGTGCTAGGAATTCCATCCACAAACTTCTATTATCCTGTAGTTAATACCCGATCAAAGACCAGTGACTGAACTTGACATTAATATTTAGTATTGTTAACATGTAGTATCTCTGCTATGTTTAGGATGTTATTTGGGAGAAGCACAAAACTGATATATAATTAAATTTGTTTAATCTTCTGTTTTGAGAGGCAGGAATTGTTTATGTTCATTTTCTAGTGACTTTAAAACTCCTACTTCCCAATTCTGAATTCTAAAGTACAGAATAGGTAACTAAAGAATCGAGAGTTAAAGAGCCAACGAAGAAAGTGTCCCACTCTTAGAGAGATTTCCTCCTCACAAAATAAAACCTTAGCTCAATCCATTATACTTTATCTACATTTTTCCTAACCATAGATTCCACCACAGTGTATAATTTCTCCTACTGCCCTATTGTTTCCTTAACTGCTGTACAAATACTCCTGAGCTAGCTGTAAAATGTACACTCTAGTACAGTAGCTATCAAGTTCACATTTGTCTCCCCACACATTACTGCAAAAAGGTACAGCATTTGCAGCACTAAAACACTACCCCTGAGTGTAATCAGTTGAAAGAACCAAACACAATATTTCCCATCTAGAGAGCTGAGCAATCATTGGAAACAGCAAGAGATTGCCTAATGTTTCAAAAACTTTTCCTGTGCTATGTCACTCACGTGCTTGGATAGCTAATATGTTTCTAAAATATATTTTGAGGAGTTGATAAAGAGCTTGTGCATAGAATTTCAGAAAATAAAATAACTCCTTCGGTATGCATGAAGTTAAACTTTAGGCACATTCTTTATTGCCTTGCTGTAACTCGGCACCAGAATTCCCAAGTTAAGGTTGAAGGAGAAAAATTATTTTTCCTGATAGCCCCGGAGCCATCTGGGATGTAACATTACTTACCTAAAGATGGGTCTTTGGAGATGCTTCTTCCTGATTGTGACATGGTCATCCATTTAAAGGTGAAGATTTAAGTTCTTCCTGGAAACCACTCCAGAAATCCAGGGAGGGAATGTGGAAGCTTATCCTGATCTATTGTGCTGCCAGGAGCCCAAAAGAAAAAAGTAGTTTCCTCTTTCTCTTTTTGGGTGCTGGGAGAAAACTTCCCTGCTCTCTGCCAGCTGAGCAGTGAGTCCATAGAGGCCACATAAGACAGGCACGTTGGGGCACTCCCCCACAGAGCAGGGTGTGCAAAAACCACCAAGAGTCACGTTGATATGGGCAAGGGAAGTGCACCGGACCCTCGGAAACAGCACAAAACAAACAGAAAGTTTCCTACCCCAGTGGCACTCAGGTAGGGGCTCCCTAAGTTATTGCAGCCATGAGAGCACTCCTTCCACATGCTGGTCAAGCTCCGAAAAGCTAAGTCCCTCCCTGTCTTTAAAACAGCCTGTTCTGAAGCTCAACTTTTTTTCTTCAAAATAAAAGTTGTACAGCTGGTTCAGCAGTCCCATGTGAGTACCCTCTGAAAGTTTGTTCTGTTAAAATAAGAACTGTACACAGATTAATGAAGAAAGAAGGGCTTAGGCTGTGTGACTGGCTCGGCTTCAAGAGATGATAATTATTTTACAATCTTGCTTTTATTCACACTGAATAAAGTATGGACACGACTCATCATTTTTGGCATTCACAACCTAATAGCCTACACTTGGCTGAAGTCAAAGATGCCATTTCAACTGATAGAAGCCCATGCGAAGCTGGCCAGAGCTACAAAAGTTAGAAAAATAAAAATTGCTCAATTCTACCAGTGACATTGTACTTAGATGTCTGTACCCAAATGTGGCTTTCCAACTAAGAGGGAACACTGCAAAAAAAGATATGGAAATACACACACACACACACACACACACACACACACACACACACTTTTTTTTAAAGTCTCCAAAGTTCCCTGGGAACCTGAGGTTTTTATATTATATGATCAAATTTGAAATTACAAAAATAGTAAGAAAACTAGATATAAGAGAGAAGTTGTGAATAGCTGAAAACAAATGACATTAAAAGTTGTTTTATTTGGAAGACTTGGACTCACACTGCAGGATCTCTTGTTCTAGTTACAGATAAGGCGAGTTGTCATATTTTAATATAACTTATTTTGGAGACATTTCTGTATTTGAATCACTAACAAAATTCCTACTCAATCAATATTGTCATGCGATTCCAGGACACAGGTTTGGTATGTAATAAAATAAACCATCTCAAAGCATGATTAAAATGTTTTAAAAATATACATGTAATAAAAGGGGAGAGAACCTAAGAAATACACATGCCTTTAGTTGATGATTCATTAAAATCAGAATCAAATGTCATGGAGGGGAATGACATTTGTTCTTAGCACTCTCCAAATACTCACAGGAGGAACAATAATGTTTATTTTCCTCCCAGAAGAAAAACAAAGGAGAAGAAAATTATGAAGAAATCACTGATTATATTGAGCAGCTCTAGTCTATGCTTTTTTTTTTTTCCTAATGGAATTAGTTTGAGAGACTATTGAACTAAAAATAAAATAAACAGGTTCTAGTTCTATCATGAACAGGCTGACCATTGTGAGACAATTTTTTGAGCCCCAGTTTCCTTGTTTGTAAAATAAGGTTATAATATCAATGGAATTCCATGTTCCTCTCCAGCTTTCATGGTACCATAGTGCTTTTTCTCAATATGATTAATCTGCTTCTTGCAAAGGGATTAGCATAAAAGTTATGATACCTGATACTCCAAAAACAACACATTTATTAAATAAAGTTATAAATAAACAAGGAAATAATAAATAAGAGGAAGATAACTTTACATATATATATATATATTTATGTAGATATTATATATTTATATAATGATATTTAAATCAATGTTCCCTTCACCATCAAGAAGCATCCAGCCATAGGCTGACGTGTATGATAGTGATGTTAAATCTGGAGATCATCTAACATGCAAACAAATATGCAGAACTTCAGGGTAGATGCTGTATTATAACCATATGCTTTGGCTTGCTTTGTATAGGGAAGTACATCACTAATAACATTTGCACAGGTCTTCTGGAAGGATGTTTGCATTTATGGGTGGCATTCAATTTCTGTGCTCATAGTTTATTTATATTACTATTAATTTAACATAAATATCCCTGAGGGACAACCCAGGAGAATAATAAGCTCATCAACTTATAAAAATTAACTTTCATTTTTGTCTACTTTTTAATTACAAATGTGAGATGATGTCTTCATTAGCATGATGGAAGGAACTCAACACAAATACTAATAAACATCCAGGCAAGGTACAGTTCAAATGACAAGAAACTATACAATCCAACTTGAGACTTGATGGCTTGATTACCAACTGCAGAACCTGAAAATTGTTACAGTGATTACAGAAAATCCATGACATCTTTGATTGCATTAGGTGTTTATTTTTGCTTTTTCTTACACTTTTTAAATTATTTTTATTTTTCAATTACAGTTGACATTTAATATTATTTTATAATGCTCTCCAGTTTTTAAGATAGAAAACTTAGATTTCCATTTACATCAAGCACTGTATTTAAATCCAACCTTAGAACCTAAACAGCCATGAGAAAATACCAATAAGTTAGATATTCAGTTCGCATAAAGAAAAACCTGTATTTCTTAAACGTTTTCATTAACTTTTTGTGAAAGACCATTTAAATTTAACATTGGGAAGAAAAGGCAAACTTATTAACTTATTCAACTTTACAGTAGTATTTAATAAAATGGAAGACCCTGAGTATTGTTGCTCAAATTACAAAAATATATTCCTTAAATTAACACAACTGTACTGCATAAAATACTAAAATTTATGTATTAATAATCAGGCCAATTCTCTCCTATAAAATAAACTAATTTATTATAGATAGTTTTTTCCTGGGAATAGTGGTCAAAAATGGTGTTTATATTTTTCCAGTTATGATAAATTCTCTTTCAGTATGACTTGACCTAACACTTTCACCCCCACTCCTGCTTTTGCACACTCTCTCTCTCTCTCTCTCTCTCACACACACACACACACACACACACACACACACACACACAGAGACAGAGAGAGAGAGAGAGAGACTCTTTCCCACTCAGCACTGGTAGAGACTGTATAATAGATGCTCAATAAATATTTTTAAAATTAATTTGTTAAAATGATCAGCTGAAACGCACCAATATATCCATCATAACTAACTCATTTTGTGTGACAAAAAACATGGATCAACTCACATGACTTTGTCAACCAAGTGGATACTGTGTCATGGTATTTTTGTGTTAAGCACCTTGGAAAATAGGTAAGATTTACTTTTTCTTATTGCTTTTTTTTTCATTGCAATAGCCTGTTCTCTGGTTCTGTTTGCAATATATAAGTGCCAGAAAGCATGCAACTGTAGAAAAATCATGTAATACCACGCCAGCCCAAGAACTAGAGAATGAATGTATCTACAGGTTATCACTTCACCATTTATTTAGTCAAAAATAAATCTGAGACAAACTGTATGTTCTTTTTTTCCAACACAATTAATTAAATACGTCATGTTATATATTTAAGTGAGTTTTAAATTAAGTAGAGAAATAGAAGGAAATGCAAGAAAGAAAGGATCTGATGGCATTTTAGGTTTTGTCATTACATACATGTAATTTTAATTTAAAAAAAAAACCTGGTTCTTTCTTTCACTCTTGCTTCTCCCCCTTTCACCAAGATTAGATTAGGGCTAGCCCATTGTATGATTAGAGTGTCTCCTTCACTTAAACTCTAGTTCAGTAGTTCTCAATCCTTTTTTTTTTACATATTATACATAAAAAATAAAATGTGCATGTGATACTCTCCCAAAAAGTACCTAAATCTTGATTGAAAACAAAACAAAAAAAAGTAAAATGCAGGCACTGCCATAATTTTTACTTGACATAGCTATAAAATGTTATCAGTAATGTGAAACACCATTTGATGAACTCTGCCATGAGATAAATGGCAGGGTATGAACTATGCCTAATGGGCCGACTAATCATAACTCTGTCCTTTTATCACTTGGTGAAAAACTATTGTGTATAAGTGAGAGAGCGTGGCATCATTTCAAAGAGAACTTACATCTGATGTATCCTTTCAAGGTAAGTCATTTACAACGTTCAGTATTTTCTCCATTATAAGCCTCAGTGGCCTGACTGCCTGTGGGCTCCATATTCTTATGTTGCTCCCATATGCACAAAATTAGTTTTTCTCCTGTTAATCTGCCTTATGTTAATTTGATTATTAGACCAGCCAAAGATCCTAGAAAGGTAAAAGGAAAGAATCCCCCTACCTACGCTATTTCATCATCTTCTTGTGTATTTGTTTCCCTAAAAACTCAGACATAACTGGTAAATGTTCAGTCTTGCATATTTCCTCCAACCCACTGTTTTTCGTCAAGGAGAAATCTGAGTTTATAGGGAGGTGGGCTTCTATGACTCTGTAGTGGCAGGGAAGAGGTGGCCTCAAACCCAAACCTGCAGGTGGCTTCTCTCCTTTGTTTTTTCTGGTCTCTGAAACAATGTTCCTAGTCTGTCTGGTCACTGACTCCCTGCAGACACCTACTGCTGCAAGCTGTGCCGGGTGTGTTCAGTTGGCTCACTCTGGGAAGTGGTCATCCCCTTTTGATTGAGCCCAGTCTCAGCCTTCACTCACGCTGCAGGACCCTCTAAATCTCAGCCACATCCTTCGTCTGGATCCCCGCCAATGCTCTTAACCCTTGGCCTTCTGTATAGGGTCCCCTAACCCCTTGCAATGGCCGTGGCAGTCTCTCCTGACAGATATACTGGCCCCATCTCAGCTGACTTCTGAATTCCCCACTGGGCAAACAGGATTCCCTGAGCCCTCCATCTCACACAAGCACTGAAGAAGGCTTGGGATTGGCCACACAATACCACCATTTTTATTTTGTTGTAGCTAACTCACTAAGTGGCTGGAAAAATCACCTGCTTTAAGCTTTCACTTTCAACTAAATATGCCCTCTACCCTGGGATTACAGCTCAGAGGTAAGAAATCAAAATACTTCTTTTTTTTCTTGCATAAAACACCTTCTGTCTGGGTCCCCTTTTTTATACTTAACCAAGGCAAAAGAGGTATGCTTTCCCCATCTAATGTGGCAGAAAATCTCTTACTGTATCTCCTAAGTTCCTTTTGTCTACAATTTATAATAAACTCAACATTCAAATCTATGAGCCTGGATCATGTATGTTAGGTAGAGCTTAGGGAACTTGGTAAACCCTTTCTGATGTGAACAAAGCTTGGCCTTCAGGCTTTGTTCAAAAGTTCTATTTAGGTATTCAAAGCTGGGCTCCTTATTTGTTTTTTACTTTCAACTGTAATAACATTAATACTGCTCTTCACCCTGTAGGAAGCAGACGGATGCCTCT